CTGGATATTTTGATTAAAAATTTAATAGGGAAAGTACATCCCAAGACAACCAAAAACCATTTACCAACAGCCATTATAAAATCTTGTTAAATCATGATTTTGAAAGAGAATAAACTCAAGACAGCATAGTATTACTAGATTAGGCTAAATTAAAGTAGTGACTCATGTACCTATTATATTCGGCATTAACCACTACAGCACTATTATTCCCGCTTAATAATCACTGACCCATGTATTGTTTATCCATCCTGCATCATACTAAGACTACATCAAATCATTATAAATCATGAAGTAAAGAATTTTTTATATTCAAAGGCACTTTCTTAAATAACTTTTTCTGGATTTTATATTGGCAATATCATCAATTATATTCTGATAATCAATTTTTCCTTTGTTAGATACAGACTCCAATTGTGTCAACATAGGCTAGGTTACACAATTTTGTCTTGGTCAATGTTGTATGGAGCTGGTTTTTCACTCTTTTCAAAACAGAAATGAACGTTCTCTTCACAGTTAGCTGGAAGTGTTAGAGTTTTAATAGGCGGATAACTATGTCAACACTTAGGGGAAGGTTTCATGAGATACCTGCATTTCTTAAATCGTTTCAAAGCAGCTGGGGTACATCATTTTTTTCAGGTTGTGGAGCTTTCATCTGATTACATTACCCAGAACTAAAAGAAACTATTTCTTCAACAAATGTGTCCTGACACATCGGCTGAAAGGTGATTGTTTTTTGCCATAAATTTTTATGCAGCTTTTCTTCAATTCGGCAGCTGGAATAGTTAGTAATTTTGAACAGGGATATCCAAACTTGTCATTGAGATTAGGTGGTAGATTTCTTTTCTTTTCACCAATTTGATAACATCAGTGCATCCAGAATGACGAGAGTATGTTAGATGTATCTACATATTTTCTGCCGTGGTTGCAAACATTTTCAATTGTATGGCTCTTCAAAATTGCGTTTCCTCTCATTGTACGCTGATGATCAGCCCCGGTAACTGTAGTCATTTCCAGCGTTTTTCGCTTTCTCTTCATAGTGCTTGATTAACTTTCTTTTACTTGCTTTTTTTTGTTTCTTTTTTCTTTTCTCTTTTTTTATTTTCCTGTTATTCTTCAAACATTTCAAAAGCTTCATCATGGCGAACGTGAGCTTTTCAAAATGCCCACTAAGCTGCATAGAGGTTAGCACAATTAGCATTTCAATTTCAATTTCTGAGTGTCTTGTTCGTGGCATTTAAACCGTATCCAGTATACAGTCCCAAAAGAACACAGAGTATGGCCAATTTCAAATCTCTCCAATTTTGATGCTAAACTGGATGCTTTGCTTACTTGTAGTTTGCTGTCTGGCTTCATCCTCTGCTATTTGGATCAAAGCAGATCGTACTTTCAGCATAGCTGTCTTTCAAGCATGTGTCTGCATAATGCTGTGTGACTCTTGGTCTGTTGGAAATGTTGATGACATCTCCTGAATGGTTGACTTGAAGTAACTCTCCACGATGCGTTGAGCAGAGGATGAAAAAATTTAAAAGAAGTGCTTGTTTAAAAGCCCAAAAAAATGAAAACTGCAAGCGACCAACCACTCGCAAAGCACATGGACCTAACCAGATAGGGGGAATGTGATGAGCAGGGGCAACATATGCGCAAGTGGGTTGATTTGCTTGATATCGGGCTTGCAACATTATATATACCCGCATGTTACTGTCATTGTCGTAGCTCTGGAACCACGGCAGTCCATAATAGAGAGATTCCTTTGTTCAAGCAGAGGTATTCCAGTACTACATTCATACATTGTTTCATTCATATGGCTCTGAAAGAGGAATGAATTTTATAACAGCACTCTACAGGCTTTCCAAGGAGTCGAACCAAAGTGAACAATGAATGTCAATTGATCTGGATTGTGAAATATCTGGTGTTGATTCTACACTATTGCAATGTATTTTGCCAGCTTTTCACAAGATGCTATCAACCGATGTTATTCGAGGGACCTTATTAGTCTTCAGTTCAATTATACTTCATTGCATATAGTAGATGAACAATGTAAGAGGGAACGTGCACTCTTTCTGCCAACATTGCCCAAGGCGGTTAGACACATTGATTTTGCTAAGAATGGATCGAATTGGGCTACCATAGTTCTATGATCACCTAGGAAATTGATCATTGTTTCGAACCAAAAACTCATTTTCTCCACGGAAAGCAAGTCCTCTTAGAGCTAAGAATTTTACAACAGCAACAACTTTTCTAGAACTTTGCTCCAATAAGTGCGCTCTTTTTACAGTTTGATTCTTCCAAATGAGAATACAATAAGACCTTTTTTTTTTTTTCTGTGCACGAAATACACTGGCTAAATGCAGCTCCTACGAGTGGTGCTGTTTTCATTGTTCCTCGAAACCCGACTTGGAATTTTTCCAAGTCAGTGAACCCTGTGTGATAGGGTGTTTTTTTTCTTTGGTGAAAATAACTTGCATGCTGAACCAGTACCCACTTTTCCTGTGCTTTTCAGAGTTATACTATCCATGATCTTTTCACTCGTTCTGAATTATGCAAGCTTACTATAAAACTTAGATGACTTTAAACAAACGTCGACTTCCATCATCATAAATCTTGCTGATTTCCTAAAGTCACATGGTCAGGAGTTTGACTGAAGTTTTCTGCTTTGAAAGCATTAAGTAGAGAATCTGGCGATTACATTTTGGCCATGAGGCAGGATCTTTTAGACAATCACTGTCGGATGAAATGTCCGTTGAGACATTGTGAGGAGACACAAAAAGAAGTTGATGACTGGCTGAGAAATTAATGGATGGGAGGGCTTCCTGTATGACTGACGTATTAACAGATTCACTCTGTACTGGTAACATCAGAAACTGTTTTTGTGAGCTACTTGTCTGTGATCTTTCTGCAGCTTCCTACATTCTTTCTTTTCTGTTGTTCTTATCTGAATTTTCTTCTTTCTTTTCTGTGGACCCACTCCGAATAAAGAACGTCCAAACATCACGTTAACGAGATGCATAATTAAGGATGTAACTCCTGTCTGTAATCAGCATAAATACAAATTTTTCATTATCAATTATTATTAATTTTTTTAATATTATAATTTTTTTTTTTTCTTGGGGGGTCAATTGGGGGGATAGGGCCACTTTTAGCCTCTTTTCCTCCTGGCTCTCCCTGCGCATCCTAAAAATTCCAAACGTTACCAGAAAGGAGGTCATATACAGAACTTTTACCATAGTTGGTAGGTTAGTGATTTTGGATATGAATATTTTAATTATTCTCCTCCATGATCTCCAATTTACTGAAACAGAAATCATACTGAGTCCAAGAAAAACAATGCACAATGGATTTTATCATTACCATTTTCATAAAAACTAAAAAACATAATCATTATGTTTGTGCATGGATATATGGCCTACAACCATAGATTAAAAAGACATGAGAAATTAAAGAATGCGGGACTATTTTCCAGTATTCATCCCAACCAACGATCCCCCGTTTCTGATGTGGCTTATGTGTTTCTGGGGATAATATGTACGTAAATTATTTGCGTGTTCTACATCAATTCCGTCGCAACTTGGAATACTAAGCATTTGCGACGGGCGGGGAAGTTGATCGAGAACATCAGTCAATTGAGATCTGTTATGTCGAAAATGATAAAAGACTTAAAGACAGACTAGTGCTTTTAAAAACCTATAACGGAAGTCAGTTTCGTTTTTAGGTTTTTTCTTTATAGTATTCTTTACAAAAATGCGGTCTTTACCTGGTACCATGCGTCTTTACTGGTCAAGTAACTCCTATCAGGTACTCCCTTCACATTTAGTGGCGAAAACAACATTCACCGTAAGCAAGAGATAATCGAGTAGTTTACCAATACACAATCAATGTCTATCAACAACACTCAGTTAATTTGTCACAGTACAAGTCTAGATAACGTTTACATTACTACAGGAAATTGGAGTGGAATCTCCCATACTCACCCATTAGCCGGAGAAAACACCAGCCCTGTTTTCTGATGATTAAACAAAGGCGTGTTGAGTGTTGCCATCTATGGTTAGGTTTATTAATTTTTATTTTATTTTATTTCATTATTTATTTTTTGTTTTGATTTATTTTTAATAATAATTGTACTCTCCAACACTTAAAGTTTTTAGCTAGGGGCCCCATTTGCACTTGCACCATGTGCGCAGTCTTGAATGTGCCCCTGAACCCCTCTTGGACCGCGGGGCCCCCCAAATGCACGGGGCCCTCCAACAACAGGCAAAAATGGACTAGTTTCGCCTATGCGGCTTATCGGCCCCTGATGACCAAGCTGTTGGAGTGTGAGCAGGGTAGTATTTAGTGAAAGGGGATTCAGGGAAAACAGTGTTAATTTTTTATAGCCGGACCGTGAGTCCTGGATAATAGGGAAGTACAATGCCACCACTTTAAAGGAGGGGTTTGCGACTTTTGGCTGTTTGGAGGATATTGTTGTTGTATCTTTATAATATATGCATTCTAAACTGTTGTCATTCTGAGCACCTCTGCAAAAACAGTGATTATGATGTGAAGACGAGGACGAGGTTGACAGTGTTGAATGATGAAAGTACATGTATTTTCTTTTGGGGTTTTCTTTCTTTTTTGGGTCACCCTGTCTTCGGTGAGAGACGGCTAACTTGTTAAAAAAAAAAAAAAAAAAAAAATGAGAATATAATTTTATAGGTATTTTTTTTTTTGTTTTTTTGTTTTATTTTCTTGGAGCGTCTATTGGTGCAAGCTGCAAGGTTATAGATATCAGTTGCGTCGCAGATTAGGAAGATAAGTTGGTCTTGGATATGAGAATGTTCTTCATGAATATGAGTTTTCACAGTACTGTCAGCCAAGTGTTGAAGGAAACACCAAAAGGAATCTCTTTATATGGGCGTCAGAGCATGTGGATCCATACTTCTTACTGTTGGACAACCTGACTTCACATCAATAGAAATGGACCTAATTCGTCGGTCATCTAATTCCGTTATAAAACGTCCCGAAAGGGTGGCCGATACTCTGCCTTCCAAGTAAGTTTACACCAAGAGTGTAATAATAATACAAATAATAGTGAAGTCATCAAAAATTTGAACACTTTCTACAATATATTAATTGCATTAAAAATGACCATTTTTTTTAATTTATTCAATATAGTTTTTAGTGCAGTGTAGTGCTGTACATGGTACAGAAAACTTTTGGAAGTTTTATAATTGCATGCATTATATAAAATTAGGATCACCATAGAAACTTTTAAGTTATGCAGCTGTGGATATATATATATATATATATTTTTTTTTCAACAAACCAGCCGTATCCCACCAAGGCAGGGTGGCCCAAAAAGAAAAACAAAAGTTTCTCTTTTTAAATTTAGTAATTTATACAGGAGAAGGGGTTACTAGCCCCTTGCTCTTAGTATTTTAGTCGCCTCTTACAACACGTATAGCTTACGGAGGAAGAAAGAATTCTGTCTATCCACTTCCCCATGGAATGATAAGACGGGAAATAACATGAACAAGAGCTCAGAAAAGATAATTAGAAAAGAAAACCACAGAGGGGTGTTGATATATAAATATATACTTGTGTACATGTACAGTGGGCCCCCGCGTTGTTAACGATATTTTTTCACTCCAAGAAGGACTGTATGTTAAGGTGCCAGTTACTGACCGAATTTGTTCACATAAGGATTATTGTGAAGTTAGATTAGTCCATGTTCTGCACCCCCAAACAATATCACGTACAAACGCACTTAATATTGGTCGCATTCGGAGTGTGTTTCGTTATGCGGGTCCACCTGTATCATGCTTTGTAAAAGTTTGTTTTGTACTGTGACCTATGTGTAAGAAGTCAGTAGCAAGGTAGTACCTGTAATCTTGCATGTTTATGCGAACAGAAAAATGGACACCAGCTAATCTCACTTATTCTTTCTTTCTATCAACACACGGCTGTATCACAAACCGATTAGGCGGGGTGTTGAACCAAAAGAAAAAAAAAACGAAAATTTCTTCCTTCTTTACATATGGTTATATATATAGGAGATAAGGGGTTACTAGCCCCTTGCCCCGGGCATTTTAGTCGCCCTCCTTACAGCACGCATGGCTTAACGGAGGAAGAATACTGTTCCACTTCCCCATGGAGATTAAGAGGGAAATAAACAAAGATCATGACTCTAGAAAGAAAAATAGAAGAAAACCCTAGTGGGGATGTGTATAATATACATATAATATGCTTGTAACATGTAAGTGTAGATGGACCTAAGTGTAAATAGAGAAGTCTAGCAAGACGTTACCTGAAACCCTTGCATGTTTATGAGACAGAAAAAAGCGGCACCAGCATCCTTCCATCAAGTTTTTAAACACAAATCACAGGCTTTGTTTTTACAACTCACTTCGGCAGGACAGCAGTAGGCCGGTTTGTTGGAAAAAACAAAAAATATTTATATTATATATATTCTTCTTTAACACACAGGCCGTATACCAACGAGGCGGTGTGGCCCAAATAGGGGGAAAAAAACGAACGTTTCTCCTTTTACATTTAGTTATTCACTATAAGGAGAAGAGGTACTAGCCCCTTTGCTCCGGGCATTTTAGTCGACCTCTTACAACACGCATGGCTTACGGAGGTAAGAATTATGTTCAACTTCCCCTTGGAGTTAATAGGAAATAACAAGAAATAAGAAACTAGAAAGAAAATAGAAGAAAACCAGAGGGGTGTGTATATATGTGCTACTGTACAGGTAATGTGCTAGTGTGACTAACGTCGTAAGTAGAAGTAGCAAGACGTACCCTGAAATCTTGCCATGTTCTTGAGACAGAAAAAAGGGCACCAGCCCCAAATCCTTACATCAAGTAAAACATTCACAGGCTTTCGTTTTACATCTCGCTTGGCCCAGCGACAGCAGACAGGCCGGTTTGTTGAAAATCAAAAAATATTATATATAATATATTATATATAATATATATATATAATATTATATATATATTATAGATATATATATATATTAATTTAATATATATTATATATATATATATATATATACATATATACATATATAAATAAACTTAAGAGTTAAGAGTGTCATGGTGTTCCATGGTGGGACTATGCCTATGTTGTAGACAAATTCCCTGCTTCATGAATGGTGTAATTTCAGATTCATTCTTTTATTGACTTTTAGTTTTATACTTAGAGGCTAACACAGACTGCCTAGCTTTCTTCCGGTCCCTAAAAATAGTGCATATAGTGAGTCCAAGGCTGTATTTTGCTCGTACATAATGCCCTGTGACTTAAATTTCTTTAAAGAAAAATCCACTGATCAAGAATATGTATTCACATGTTTCTGACAGATAACAATATGTATTGGAAGCAGTTGAAATTTATTTGCCCTAATCTTTATTATCAAATATGTTCCCCTTTTCTGTAAATTTGGGTCCATTCATCTCCTATGACTGTTAGGTCTTGAAGATTATGTTTGATAAATTATGCTTGTTGATAGTTAACATGTTTTCAGTGCTGATTTAAATTGTGAAGTGGTAGGTGTTGTTTATTTCAACTGTAGCAGATAGTCTTTGATTACATAAGCTGCTCAGTTTTATTTTTAATTTGGAACAAGATCGCTTCTAAGTTTTTACAGAGATTTATTTCCTTCATAAATTAAATATTAGTGCATATTTTTTACTTCACAAAAATGCAAACTTTGTGCTGTATAATCCATTCACTGCAGGTAACCCCATATACACTGTAGTCATTTTTCTTCTGTGGTAGTGTATTGAATTAGCGCCTAGCCCTTTTAAAAATATGTGGCATTCTTGGGAAGGGTATGCAGTCAGCAGTATATTTTTTCAGCTTATTAGCTTGTTTCTCACCAAGGTAGGGTGGACCCCAAGAATGAAACATATTCACCATCTCACTCATTCTACTGTCCAGCCTGGGCAGACATGCATTTTTTTTTTTTATTATCACAACCGGCCGATTTAACACCAAGGGCGGGTGGCCCGGAAAAAGAAAAAACTTCCACCAGCACCACTCCATCACTTCTTGCCAGTAGGAAGTGCCTTTACACTACAGTTTTAAAACTGCCAACATTAACAGACCCTCCTTCAGAGTGCAGGGGCAACATGTAATTCCAATCTCCAGGTCTCAAGTCCGCGACTGCCGGTTTCCCTGAATCCCTTCATAAATGTTACGTTGCTCACACTCCAACTGCTACGTCAAGTACTTATAAACCATTTGTCTCCATTCATCCTATACAAACACGCTTCCGCTTGCTGCGGGATGTCCAAGCCCCCTCGCTCAACAAAACCTCCTTTTACTCCGTCCCTCCAACACTTCCCTAGGCCGGACCCTACCCCGCCTTCATGTCCACTTACAGACTGATCACACTCTTGAAGTTCATTTCTGTTTTGCTCCATTCTCACCCTCTACATGTCACCCGAACCACCTTCAACAAACCCTTCCTATGCACCTATGGACAAAACAGTTTTGGTATCCAGAAACCTCCTACTAACTTCCAAACTTCGAATTCTCTGCATTATTATTATCAACACACATTGCCCTCTGACATGTAAATCTACACTGGCTCCTGCCTTCAATTTCCTCGCTGCAAACATTATCACCAACGCTTCACACCCATTATAAGATGACGTAGGTATAATAACTATACTCTCATACATACCCTCTTTGCCTCCAAAGGGGCAAAGTGTCTTTGTTCTCCACATGACTCCTAAGTGCACACACTCTCATCTCAATTTTTTTTTCCTCATTATCTTCATAATGATATCAACCTCATCTTTCATACGACCCCTCCGCTGACACGTCCACTCCCAAATTTGCTGAATACGTTCACCTCCTCTACACTTCACTCATCAAATCTGAATAGTCAATCTTTCACATTCAATTATCTTTTTGTTTATCACTCATAACCTTACTCTTTCCTGTATTCACTTTAATTTTCTTCTTTTGCTCTCCTCTAACCCACAATTGTATACACCTGTCTGCCAAATTCTCTCTTCAGAATCTCCCAAGAAGACACAGTGTCATCAAGCAAAGAGCAGCTGTGACAACTCCCACTTTGTGTGTGATTCTTTAATCTTTTAACTCCAGCCTCTTGCCAAAAGACCCTCGCATTTTAACTTTACTCTTACTACCATCTATAAAAATATTTATTTTTAAACAACCACGTTGACATCACTCATGCCTTTGTCTAAGGCCTACTTTTACTGGGAAATAATTTTTCCATTTTCCTACCATACTCTTACTTGAGCTCACTATCCTCGTGGTAGAAATCTTCACTGCTTTCAGTAACTCACCCTCACTATCACATACATATTGCAACATCTGCCACATTGCCCCCCTATCCACCCTGTCATACGCCTTTTCAAATCCATTAATGCCACAAGACCACTCTTCATGCCTTATCTAAAAATACTGTTCACTTATATGTTTCAGTGTAAACACTGGTACACTCTACCCTCATACCTTGCCTAAAGACTCCTTGTCATACTGCTATCCCCTATTCTCCGTCTTACTCTTAATTCTTTCATTCCAAATTATAACTCTACCATACACTTTACCAGGTACTACTCAAACAGACTATCCCCACTTATAATTTTTGCACTTCCTTTTTGTTCCCTTTGCCTGTTTATACAAAGGATTATGCATGCTCTATAGCAATCCTTGGTACTTTACCCTACATTTCCATACTTTATTAACATAATTGCACCACCTCCCTCATCAAAACTATTCCCACCTGCTTTTAACATTTCTATCTTTATCCCATCAATCCCGGCTGCCCTTACCCCCTATTCATTCTTACCTACTGCCTCACGAACCTTACCCCAAAGCTCACAACTGGCTCATTCCTCACTCCTACAAGATTGTTATTCCTCCTTGCCCTATACAAGAAATCACAGTCATTTCCACCCTCCCTTCTTCTTCAACATTTAACTATTCCTCAAAAATATTCCTTCCATCTTCCCAATACCTCTAACTCTCATTTAATAACTCTCCTCTCCTATTTTTAACTGAACATTATACA